TATAGCTAATTGATTTCTTTCTGCCTGTTCTATTATGAATCCCAAACCCCTGTCCCCTATGTGTTTAAGCTATGGTTTGAGGCATGGCAGTATGCAAGTTATTGTCCATGAATTGAACTTGATCCCCTGGGGATCCTAGCCTCTAATAGTATGTGTTCTGGCAGGCTTATAGGTGTGTCAGCATTCCCCATTGCTGGGCATGCCCAAACTTTGCCTTTTTGCCTAAACGACAGGCTCTTTACAATTCCCTATTCCCCTAAATCCCCCTGTGTGTGCTTATCTGTAGTTGATTCCCCCTTCCTTTTCCCTTTTAGCACTCTATTCTGCACTTGCACACCTTCTTAGTCTTTAAGTTTTGCCCCCCTCTTGTGAGCCTTGCCTTGGGACCCTTTGAGCTCCCTCTGAACTTGGACACTTGAGGGTTGGCCCTTCCACTGCACTTGTCCCAATCTGATAATACATTTGGGTGTGAGCATTGCCCGGAGTCCCTTTGAGGCTCTTAGGGAAATTTGACACACTTAAGTGGGAGAAAGGCTTTGGATCATGATCTCATGGAGTTGGTTTACCTCATATTTCAGACATGAAGTCTGAATCAGGCTCTCCTTGGTTGTACTTTTATTTATATTTTTCTGATGTATTTTTTTTACTTTAATCTGGGCTGTAATAATTTGTAATAAACTCTTGGGGACGGCTAGTGAAAATGGTGGGTAACTATGTATGCAAAAAGGATAGAAATCATGCCTATAGGTTTCAAACAATTTCTGCGTTTAGATATCATGTTCATAGGTTTCAAACAATTTCTGCATATAAATCATGCCTATAGGTTCTTAAAATAAATTCTGCATTTAGATATCATGTTCATAGGTTTCAAACAAATTTCTGCATTTAGATATCATGTTCATAGGTTTCAAACAATTTCTGCATATAGAAATCATGCCTATAGGTTCTTAAAATAAATTCTGCATTTAGATATCACGTTCATAGGTTTCAAAGAATTTTTGCATTTAGATATCATGTTCATAGGTTTCAAACAATTTCTGCATATAGAAATCATGCCTATAGGTTCTTAAAATCAATTCTGCATTTAGATATCATGTTCATAGGTTTCAAACAATTTCTGCATTTAGATATCATGTTCATAGGTTTCAAACAATTTCTGCATATAGAAATCATGCCTATAGGTTCTTAAAAATAAATTCTGCATTTAGAAATCATGCCTATAGTTTTAAAACAATTTCTGCATTTAGATACCATGTTCGTAGGTTTTCAAACAGTTTAGCACCTAGATATCATGTGCATAATTTAAAATAAGTCTTCTGCATTCTACACCACGTTCAAAATCAACTACGCTTAAAAAGCATGTCTATAGGAACTCTTAATCGAATCTGAGCCGCTTCATTCACATATGGATATAAAATAAGTAATAAGGGTGCTATCAGTTGCATAGCTAATAATCAGTTCGTTTAAATCTGGCCTCTCTTTTAATAATCTAATTCCCACACTTAGCAAGTTTAACGAGTATGCATTCAAACAGTTTATTTCAAGCTTTACTATTTCTGAATTCAGTAGATATCATGCCTATAGGACCTCGTCTCAACACTTAGGCAAGCCTTAGGGTAAAATTAAATCTGTTTCTTTTAATAGCTACAACCAGCACGCAGGCCTGATTCGGGCTTCTTATCTGAATTGTGTAATAAATCAGTCTGCCTCAACCTTTAAGTCCTCGCATGTTTAATTTTTAATCAGACCCTAATTAGTATGTGTAAGTCATGCTAATTATGTGCTTCTTTTGTTTAAAGGGGGTATATCTGAGCCTTTGCTTGTTATGTGCTTTTCCCAATTTGCTATACATGTTTTGTATGTCGCCTTAGAATTTTTTGCTTTTAAAACCACAAATAAGCCTAACATCCCTACCTCCCTTAGGATTAGTAGTCCTAAATGCCCCTGGGACTGACAGGATTGGGACGGGTAGTAGCATGCAATGGTAAGCGAGACCATTGCGCGCTTTAATACCTTAACGGGGTGGGAAGGGTAGATATGGATATGATGACCACGCGATAATGTCACGTGTATCCCCTCATTAAGGAGTGGTTACCGGGCATTGTGTGGGGTGATCCATATTATTAATAAACCTAGGACCCCCCTCCCTTTATTCTTTATTTCTTTCTTTTCAGCATTTTAACTCTTTATTTTTAAAATCAGCTTTTCTAATTGTTCTTTCAAACCTTGCTTACTTTCAAACCTTTATGTGATAAAATCCCCTCTTATTTGAGCCTTATTTGTCTATATGCTAATTGTACCCAAAATCACAATAATAGTCTGGCCGGGAACCACACTAGTGGATTCTGAGGGGTGCCTAACACCTTCCCCTTAGAATAATTTTAAGCCCTTACCCAATCTCTGGTTATTCAAATCAAACCTCCTTGGTGTCCTAATGCACCCTAATCATTAGGTGGTGACTCTTTAAATCAAACCCAATTCCCAAAAGGAATGAGTTGCCCTCCCAAATGTCACAAACCCGATTTCGCGAGAGAAGGGGGCGCGACAGCATGGCGACTCTGCAGGGGATCTTTTAAGGCTTTTACCATTTCAGACCTTTATTGTGAATTTATGCTTCTTCACGCACAATTATTTGTTTATTTCTTTTAAGCATTCAATTTTCTTTTCGATTGCAAAACTGACTTGTCTCCTTTTTTCTTTTCTTTACTGCTTTCCTTTACTACTGCCTTAAATCATGAAAACTGTTGTATTTACTGCTTTCTTTAACGTGCAAATACGTGACAACATGCCTTTAATTGTTGCATAATCATGCTCGACATCATATTCCACTCGTGCCAAACAAATACCATAGCAACGCTTAATGAGTTGTTGCGCCCTTCCTATATTATCACCCCCTAAATTCGAAAATGGCATATTTGCGATAAAACCAGTCGATCAACGGTGTAGTCGACGGTTCCGTGCCTTTCCCCCTTGAGTTGTACGCTCAAGGGTACCAGTCTAAAACCCCATAGAAACCCACTCTATTTAAAATGCGCGTGCATCATGGTCAAACTTAGCCGAGTTAGTTATGTTGTCCACATAATGGCTCTTTAAGGCAGCCTCGTCCAAAGTCCACTGGGTTTCCCTGAAACCCAAATGGACATTATCACGTTTTGTACATTTATTTGGAGGACTAAATGCTTTTATGCCAATCATTGATGTTAAATACTCAAGTCCGGTAGGGGAAAGGGCCTAACCTTATTTTCTTGCAGATAATGCGTCACGAAATCCCCAGATTCAGCATGGTTACCAACATCCACCCGAGACTGCTAAGCTGGAGGAAAGATCTTCATTCCAGTGACCAGACTCTTGTCCGAAAATATCTAGGGAATCTACCCTCCCTCCTGGAAATCCAACCCAACAACAAGATCATTGAAGCTGCTACTCTCTTTTGGGATTGTGAGAGGTCCGTCTTCCGCTTCGGGCAGATTGAAATGATGCCTTTTCTAGAAGAATAGGAGGACTAGCCGGTTTAGTATGGGAGACTCCAGGTTTATTGATGCCTGAGAACCGCAAAAGGTAGGGATTTCCTCAAAATGATGGGTCTAAAGAAGAATCCAGAACTGACATGCCTTAAAGAATCCTATATCCCTTTCGATTATTTGTACGAGAGGTACGGTCACAGCAAATCCTACCGTACCTATCCTGATGAGTTTGCCATTACCTCATTGGGTCATACTCATCGAAGGGTTTTTGTATTCATGTTCTATTTTCTAGGGATGATTGTGTTTCCAATGAAGAAGGCAAGAATACACACCCGACTAGCCATGGTCACTAAAACTTTAATAGAAGGAATTGGAGGGCAACCATTCAGCATTGTGCCCATGATTGGGGAGCTAGTCACTTCGAGGGTTGCAATTTGCTACTTCAGCTGTGGCTCATGGAGCATCTACAAAAGGGTGAATACCGACAAGAGATTTAACGAAGGGACTGGGACGATCATATCGCTTTCCATCACCCAAAGCGAATGAATTATATCCCTGATATGTTTGCTCAGCCAGAGGATGCCAAAGGATGGTTCGAGCTATTTGATAATCTGACCGAGGAGCAAGTACAATGGATGTTCGAATGGTTTCCAACTGAAGAATTCATCGCCCGATCCCGAGATGCACCTTTTCTGATATTAATCGGTCTGAGAGGAACGTACCCTTGTGTCCCTCTCCGAGTTATGAGGCAAGCTGGTAGGAAGCAGGTTGTACCCAGGGTCGACAAGATGAGTCATTTCGGGGCTGACTTCCAGGCTGACGATAGTCCTTACAAGTGCCAAGCTCAGCATATGTGGCACTGCAAGATCATCATGGGAAGGGATACCATCGAACCAGATCGATACCACACCGGTTGTACTCCTTACTATTCAGGTTGGGTGGAGGATAATCATGATGGTCTAGGTCAGCCTGGGTTCGTTCGAGGTCACAGGATCATAGATGAAAAGGCCGAGGCACAGGTTAAATACAATCAGCTGCGCAAGAGAATCCGGGAATGCGAAAGTGAGCACCGTGAGATACAAGAAGCCAATCAAAAGCTAATTGAGGAATGGAAGGACATGGCCGTCAATTCCAACAAGCGACTAGGATACCTGGAGCGAGGCATAGTGGAGCTGGAAGGAAGGTTCCTTAAAAGGGTCGAAGACTGTCAGAATGCTAAGGGTAACGAAGGCGGACACCTAGCTAGAGCCTACCTGCTGCTGGGACTTCGCGAGCTGGGGAAGTTGTTCGACGGAGCCAAGGATGCCGAGTCTGGGGAAGGTCCTTCAGGGACCAAGTAGATAGGACTTTATCTTTACGCTATTTAACATAGCGTGTGTTTAGGAGACTAGATGGAAAGGTACTAGGGCACGAGATGTAGACGGATATAAACTATGGTACTCAGGGAGCGCTGGGGGAAAGAATGGGGTAGGTATTTTAGTAGACAGGGACCTCAGGGAGCTCGTGGTTGAGGTTAGGAGGGTAAATGATAGGTTGATGGGTATTAAGCTGGTAGTTGGTGGGTTTGCTGTAAATGTGATTAGTGCTTACGCTCCTCAGGTAGGTTTTGACCAGGAGGTCAAGAAGCGATTCTGGGAGGATTTGGACAAGATGTTGCGTAGTATCCCGCCCACAGAGAAGTTGTTCATTGGCGGAGATTTCAATGGTCATATTGGGGCTAGTGCTAGGGGTTATGATGATGTGCATGGCGGGTATGGTTTTGGGGTTAGGAATGAGGGAGGTAATTCACTATTGGATTTTGCTAGAGCTTTTGATTTGGTTATAGCTAACTCGAGTTTTCCGAAGAGGGAAGAGCACCTGGTCACATTCCGGAATTCAATGGGCAAGACTCAAATCGATTATCTTCTTTGCAGGAAATGTGATAAAGGTCTGTGCATTCTGACTGCAAGGTCATCCCAAGTGAGCACCTCACGACTCCACATAGGCTCCTAGTTATGGACCTGGAGATCAAGAGGAGTAGGAGGAAGAGGGCAGGGTGCAGGCAACCTAAGATCAAGTGGGATAACTTGACCAAGGACAAAGCTCGGGAGTTAGGGGAGAAGTTGCTGCCTATGAGGGCCTGGATGAGTAGGGGGGACGCATCTAGTATGTGGTTCACGACTGCGGATTGCATTAGGGTAGCTGCTAGAGAGGTCTTAGGGGTCACGAAGGGCTCTCCTGGGTGTCATAAAGGGGACTGGTGGTGGAACGGAGAGGTTCAAGGTAAAGTGGAAGCTAAGAAAGCTGCGTATTTGAAGCTAGTGGAGAGTACACACGAGGAGGAAAAAAGGACTTATTGGGAGTGTTACAGAAAGTCAAAGAAAGAGGCAAAGTTAGCAGTTACGACGGCTAAGAACGCGGCATTTGCTCGTTTGTACGAGGAGCTCGAGGGCAAAGGCGGTGACAAGAGGTTGTACCGATTGGCCAAGGTGAGGGAGAGGAAAGCCCGCGATTTAGACCAAGTCAACTGCATCAAGGACGAGAATGGAAAAGTGTTGTTGGACGAGGCACTTATTAGGAGAAGATGGCAGACATACTTCCATAAACTGTTGAATGAGGAGGGCGATAGACGCATTGTGCTGGGTGAGTTGGAGCACTCCGAGAGTCGGTGGGATTTTGGGTACTGTACGCGGATTACGGTAGAGGAGGTGGAAGGGGCGATGCGTAAGATGTGGAGGGGCAGAGAGATGGGGCCAGACGAAATCCCGGTGGAATTTTGGAAGAGCGCGGGGCGGGCAGGTTTGGAGTGGCTCACTGGGCTGTTTAATGTTATTTTTAAGACAAAGAAGAGGAAGAAGGATTTGCATATGGTGTTTATTGACCTTGAGAAAGCATACGATAAAGTTCTGAGGGAGGTCCTGTGGAGGTGTTTGGAGGTTAGCGGTGTTCCGGTAGCGTACATTAGTGTAATTAAGGATATGTATGATGATGCTAAGACTCGGGTGAGGACTGGGGGTGGTGACACGGAGCATTTCCCTGTGGTGATGGGATTGCACCAGGGATCGGCTCTTAGCCCATTTTTATTTGCCTTGGAGATGGATGTATTGTCGCGTCACATCCAAGGGGAGGTACCTTGGTGCATGCTATTTGCGGATGATATAGTGTTGATTGACGAGACGCGTAGCGGAGTTAACGCGAGGTTGGAGGTTTGGAGACAGACCTTGGAGTCTAAAGGTTTCAAACTGAGTAGAACCAAGACAGAATACTTGGAGTGCAAGTTCAGTAACGGGACCCATGATGCAGACGTAGAGGTTAAGCTTGATGCTCAAGTTATCCCCAAAAGAGCGAGTTTTAAGTATCTCGGGTCTATTATCCAGGGTAACGGGGAGATTGACGAAGATCTTGCGCATCGCATTGGAGCGGGATGGATGAAGTGGAGGCTCGCGTCCGGTGTTTTGTGTGATAGGAATGTGCCGCTAAGACTTAAGGGTATGTTTTATAGAGTGGTGGTTCGACCGGCTATGCTGTATGGGGCTGAGTGTTGGCCAGTCAATAACTCCCACGTGCAGAAGATGAGAGTAGCAGAGATGAGGATGTTGAGATGGATGTGTGGGTGTACCAGGAGCGATAGGATTAGGAATGAAGATATCCGGGACAGAGTTGGAGCAGCCTCCGTGGAGGACAAGATGCGGGAGTCGAGGCTGCGATGGTTCGAACATGTTAAGAGAAGAAGCAGTTGATGCTCCAGTTGGGAGGTGTGAGAGGTTGGCCATGGAGAGTTTGAGAAGAGGTCGAGGTAGGCCTAAGAAGTATTGGAGAGAGGTGATTAGGCAGGACATGGCGCTGCTTCAGCTCACTGAGGACATGACCCTTGATACGAGAGTGTGGAGGTCGAGGATTAAGGTAGAGAGTTAGTAGGTAGTTTATAGTTATTCACTGATAGTCTTAGTACTATGCATGTCCCTTCATATTTTTAGATTTTTATTATGTTATGTGGTTTTGTTCGCCTCAGATATTGTATTCCATGTTGCTATTATTTGGTATCACTTATCCTTTATCTCTCCCTTTTTCTTTTATCTTCCATCTTTCTTCCTCCCTTGCTTTCCTCTTCTTCTTCTTTCCCTTCCTGAGCCGAGGGTCTATTGGAAACAGCCTATCTACCTGCATTAGGTAGGGGTAAGGTCTGCATACAGACTACCCTCCCCAGACCCCACTTGTTGGGATCAAACTGGGTTTTTTGTTGTTGTTGTTGTTGTAAAATGTAATAAGGCCAATGGCCATTAGCGACTTTATTTTTCTGTTATTTAGTGTCGATTTGGGATTCGTCTTATTTTTCTATCAATGAAATGAGGCATTTAGCATTCCAAGTTCTCCGAATCGACTTGTCGCTAGGCCTACCTCGGGCACAACGAGGCTCCCAAATTAGGACACGCTTTATATTTCTGCATTACGTGTTTAAATATTGCATCGATTTTCCATGAACCTCACTAACTTGGTTACCTTTTTGCTTTTTTTTTTGTTTGATTATTCCCCTCCCCAAAGGTTAGTTCGAGCACTCTGGCAACATCATCCTATTCCACAAGATCCAAGGGCCCTCCACCTACTCCTCCTCTCAGTCCTGTCAGACACAAGAACAAAGGAAAGATGGAAGATTTGAACTACACCATGAAGGAAAACTCAACTAAACGGTTAGAGGCCACTCACGGTCATGGTACTTTGGTTCCCAAGGAGAATGCCTCCCAACTAGAGCAAAAGCTGCTTAAATTTCAGGAAGAACTTGATCAGGTCCGGAATTTGGCGAATCTGTCATTTTCCCTCACTACTCCAGATATCAACTTCCCAAATACTCAGAACCCCACACCTCCACAGAGTCTCCCAAAGCAACAGAACCACACCGCTCCTCACCACCACTGCAACACCTGCCATACTTCCAACAATACCCCGCTGCTCATCCCAGAGCCACAAAATTCCACAAATGATCATTGCCACACCCACCATAACGCCCCCATCTATGTGGAGACTGTGCCGCACTCCACCCCACCCATCTCAAACACATCCGAGCCGGATGATAAATATTTACTTATCAAGAACTTAGCTGAAGAACTTAAGAAGTTGACTAGCAGAATTCAGGGCGTTGAAGGAAGTAAGGGAGTTGAAGGGCTGAACTACGAAGATCTTTGCATACAGCCCGATGTCGAACTGCCTGAGGGGTACAAACCTCCTAAGTTCGAGATGTTTGACGGTACAGGGGATCCGAGGGTCCACTTAAGAACATACTGTGACAAGCTGGTCGGAGTGGGAAAAGACGAGAAAATTCGCATGAAACTTTTCATGAGGAGCCTGAAGGGAGATGCTTTATCTTGGTACATTAGCCAAGATCCAAAGAAGTGGCCGAACTGGGTAAGCATGGCGTCCCACTTTATGGACAGGTTCATATTCAACACGGAGAATGCTCCGGATGTATTCTACATTCAAAACCTAAAGAAGAAGCCCACAGAAACCTTCCGCGAGTATGCTACTCGTTGGAGGTCCGAAGCAGCTAAGGTTAGACCCGCCTTAGAAGAAGAACAGATGAACAAATTCTTCTTTCGGGCCCAAGAGCCACAATATTATGAGAGGCTGATGATGATCGAGGGCCATAAATTTTCTGACATTATCAAGCTAGGGGAATGGATCGAAGAGGGCATCAAAAGCGGTATGGGTACTAATTTCGAGGCTTTACAAGCTACAAACAAGGCTTTACAGTCAGTCGGTGTGTCCAAGAAAAAGGACGTAGGAGCCATAATGGTGGCACAGAGAACCAAATCTCCCGTCAAATACCAAACCTACCCAATGCCTCTAATCACATATCAGCCTACCCCATCCAATCTGGACCGTTGATCATTCAGATCAATAGTCCCCGTTTAACCTACCTAAATTAAACCAAATGACCCCTCCAATACCCCTCATTTTTCCCTCACTCGTCTCTATCTCTCTAACCTCTGGTTCTCTCTAGAACCTTCCCCATCCCCTCCTCTCCGATGAATTCTGTTCATCTTCTCCGATCACCTCCAACCTAGATCTACGGTGGTTTCACCACCCACCAAGCCACCTATGGCTCCTCACGTTTGGTTAACTGAAGCTCCATGACTCGACCATGAAGGGTTATGTCCGGACCTCTGTCGATTCGAGTTCCACGGCCATCTCCGGCCCCGTTCTGGCAAGCTATGTCTATTTTGAAGCCTGGTCTCGACTCCTTTTGCTTAGATCCAAGCCTTTCTCGTCGTTTGGGTTCCTCTGAAAACCCTAGTTTTGAGGTTTTTTTGATCTCTTTAGATCTGTTCCATATCCATGATTTCCTTAAGATTTTAAACAATTTTCCTGGCTTTTCTTTCAAAAACTACTTTCAAAACCATTTCTTTTCCGATCTAGGGTTTTTCTGAGAGTATTTAAATGTTTCTCTGACTTTCTTTTTGTGTGTATTTGCCTCTACTGTGTCCTTGTATTTTCTTCTACCATGTTCTTGTATGCTTCTTCTACGGTGTTCTTGTATGCTCCTTCTACTGTATTTTCTTATACTGTGTTCTTGCACGCTTTTTCTATTGTATTTTCCTCTACTGTATTCTTGTGTGTTTCTCCTACTGTATCTTCCTTTACTATGTTCTTAGGTGTTTCTTATTAAGTTCCACCTACTGAGTTCTGGTTAAGCTTCTTCTATAAAAATGTCTTAATATGCTTCTCCTACTGTTCTTATCAATTTTCCCATTATGTTTCAAATTAGTTTCTTCTACTCTGTTTTCTTTGAGCTCTTCTACTGTGTTCTTCATGTTACTTTTCTATCATGTTTCTCATGAGTTTCTGTTGCTGAAAGAAACGTGTTAGAAGCTTCAGTTCTTTTTTGAGACCTCTGAACCTATTTCGATTTAATTACTTGCCCTCTCATCTTTGCATTCGATTAATGGTGGAAACACTAGAATTTGGGGGTTCTTCCAAGTTTGGCTATGTGATTTGCCTGAACTAGGGTTTTATTTCAA